TCGAGCCCCGCGTCGGGCTCGGTGCTGACTGCCAGCTCGGAGCCTGGAGCCTGTTTCAGTCTGTGACTCCCTCTCTCTCTGACCCACCCCTGCTCACGCTGTCTCTGTCTCTCTCCTAGAAATGAAAAAAAAAAAAAAACTTTCATAAAATCCTCCAAGTTTCCCTTTATTCCAAGAAAATAACCCACTTCTTTACCTAGCTTTAGGCCCTGAATAGCGCGGCTCCTACACAGCTTCATCTCCCTCATTACTGTTTGCTCCAGGAGTACTATGTTACATGTAGTCCGAACTAGAGCACTTCTAAAAGTGAAAAATGCCTATCCTTGGCAAACTAGGATATAAGTTGACCTCATCGCTCTGGCCCCAGCATTTTTGCCCATGTTATTTCTTTTATGTGGAAAACTTTTTAAATCTCTTTTGTTTACCTACTTCATATTGATTCTTCAGTTCTCAGATCATGTCACTTCCTTTGGGGGGACTTTTCTGACCAGGGTTCTCCATTATGAATTCTCATGATTGATTCTTCATACCATTTTTTCTGTTATGATTTCATAGTATGATTGTGTCCTGTACTAGACTTTAACTCTTTAAATGATCTGTTTTTGCTCTATTATAATCCCCTCACAACTCCACCCTCCCCCAGCAGAATGTCTGGTACGCAACTTACTGAATGTCAACATAGTGCACTGGGGAGGGGGAGTCTGTACTCAAGGAGCTCACGATGTAGTATGGAAACAAATGCTTTATTACGATACAAAGACATGCTGCACTTAGAGAATACACAATTAGATGTCTTAAAGGGGACATGATCAGGGACCTTACGCTGCCTGATCTGTCTTATAAGGTGTACAACTGCATCAGGACACTCAACAATCCTTGATTAACTTAAACCTGTAAGAGTCTAATTCATAAGAGAGATGGACTATATCCATTTACAATTAAAAGTGCCTTTCCAATGACCTAAAGAAACATATGGCTAGAGTGTCATGTGTCTCGTAGGAATGAGAGGAGGCAATGCTGGGGTCAGATTGTGAAAAGACTAAATAATATATTATGTATGCAGATTTGTGGTATATTTAAATATATGTGTTTAAAGCAAGGGAGTGATTCCATTGTATTTCAAGTCTGAAGGAAGCCTACAAGGTGGACTAGGGGAAGAGAAGTAGAGAAATCGGGGCCTATATAAACAAAGTATTGAGGATTAAGAGAAAGGCTGAAGACAACATATATGGAGTAAAATGGACAATGAAGAACCTGCAGGAGAGGAACGATATAGCATCAATGTACCAATTTGATATTGGCTAAACTTTTATCTATCTGCACACTTAACTTTGAAACTAGAAGAAGTAGAATCTCCATATAAACTCAAACGGTTAAGAGTTTATATATTGTTGTCCCTTAGTATCACCTCTTAAAACTTTCATTTAAACTTTGATTCAAGAATTTCAGTAAAAATCCCCAAATACAATGGCCATAAACATGGTGGATGACTTGTTGGTAGATGTCAGAAAAAATTTCTAAAGACTATCCAGAACCTAGAAATTCTGTGCATCAGAGAAGGGAAGTAATGGGAGTGTCCAATATGTATTATTAGGAAAAAAACTTCCTAGGTTTCAGACTCCTGCCCCTTGCCCAACATTGGGAACCATAGCTCCTGTTCTAAAATTTTAATGATTAGGAAAATAGAAAATGTAAATATTCACTATATGGTGACTTAGAATTTCATGGTTTCTATTTATAGAGGACTTTGTAAATTTAAGTATCATATTTGGAAAGCTATTCCTCTGTTTGGCAAGGATCTGGGGGATGATGACATAGGTTTAGATTCTAGGCTATTTTAATACTATTCTGATTGTTTTAGTAGCTTCTCAAACACAAATCCTCTAGGCAACAAGAACATAATTATGGAATTAAAATCCTATCTTGGCATCCAAAACATTTATGGGAAAAACAAGAGTTACCATTGTCTTTATGTTGAACATCACAATTACGGATACTCATCAGTAACTAGTCCTAGTAGAGCCTATCAGAATCAAGGACCCACAAAGTGCTATCCTAGATTTTTAAAAATGGAATATGCGTTCCAAAGAGTACATTTCTTAAATAGGAAATGATAAAGATTTCCTGGGTTGAGATTTTCAGGGATTTTTGCTAGTCATGTGCTGAGATTATCAACTATCTTTATTTTTTTCTTAAAAAGTTTATTGTCATATAATATTGGTTTCCACCCAGTGCTCATCCCAACAAGTGCCCTCCTCCATGCCCATCACTCCCCTTCCCCTCCCCCCATCAGCTCTCACTTTGTTCTCAGCTTTCAAGAGTCTCTCATGGTTTGCCTCCCTCCCCCTCCCCAACTATTTCCCCCTTTCTTCTCCCCCACGGGTCCTCTGTTAAGTTCCTCCGAATCCACCTATATGTGCAAACATATGGTATCTGTCCTTCTCTGCCTGACTTATTCTGCTCAATACTTATTGGTACTATATCTTTTTAGTACCAATAGACAGAGATAAGAACAGAGTTTGTTCAAACAAAGTGAACCTAAACATTTAACTGTGCAGATAACAAATAGTCAAAAAATACTCTTGCTTTATTCATCAAATAACTCAAAAAACTCAACTGGAAGTGTTCCCATTTTCTACTTACCTTGTATTTCTCCACATTCTCAACAGTCATTCTAAAATTCTGAGGAGTCATAAAGTATATTATGATATTACCAGAAATGTAAATCTCCAAGGTTCAGTATTTTATTACAAATGTTTTAAGACTATTTTTGCAAAAAAAAAAAAAAAAAGTGCCTAGTGTTTATATGTAGTATATCACATCCAAATGGCAATCGATTGTTTAAAAAGGTTTTCTAGAAACATAGAGTAAGTTCATACAATTGTTTCTGTAAGATAATGACAAACTGTAGTACAGTTATAACTGAAGACTTTATTATCTGAATCATGCTTCTGATTACAAAATTCTTTATCTGCAATGGTTACTGTTTTTCTGGGCCTTTTTCTTTTTACTTAGCACTCTAGTAATCCAAGGAAGAGATTAAAGGGACAGGAAGCCCCTATCATTAAGGCATCTTTATCAGATTTTCAAAGCATAATATTAAAAACTAGCAGTTATTCCTACTTTTAGGATCTTCAGAGATGGATATCTGTTATGATCCTATTATTCTTCAAAATCCAGCATTAGAACTATTTAACAACTAGGAAAAAAGAAAATAAATAAAAAGAAGAGGCTGAGCACACATCATTTTGCAAATTATGGTAGTGTTACATTTGTTTTACTACTCATTGATTAATGTTTTTGAGAAGACCACGTGTTTGCCTTTCCCTACTCCCCAAGAGTGAATATACTCGTCCACATAATGAATATGTATTTGGAGCTATGTTTTGAGATCTCTTTGAAGGATTTAAACCAAACTAGTCAACAGTTGGTAGACTAAAACATGAATGTTTCCCAAATGAGAAAATCATTATTTTGACGATGCAGCTACCGCATTCAAACTCCTTTGGCTTGGAAGGTGGGTCTTTGTACCAAATACAATCACTAGGGAATAGGATTAAAGAGTTTATCATTTACCTCCACTGATTCAAGACTGATCAATGGACTGTAAATAAAGTATAAAACAATTCTGATTTAAAAAATGCTTTCAAACAGAGTGAAACGGGAGACAATTAGGCCTGAAAAGTGTTTCCGTGACACCTCTAAAGGGTTGTAACAGGCTCGCAGTTACAGTTATGAAAGAAACCGTCAACTAAATTGCAGCAGGTTAAACCGACAGTTACTAACGTCCATTGAGTTGCTTTTCTGTTGCGAGTTGGCACCGCACCCTCCACCCCGCCCTCCAGGAACGGACTTAGAAAGGCAGTAAAAGCTTTTTACAGATCTAGGCAAGGGATACCCACAAATGAATCAAGTTATAGGAGGTCAACAACTCGGTCTCTATTTTTCTCCGTCTCCTCAGGTGCCCCGCCCAGTCGATCAACAGACCCCCAGGGAGCCTGTGTCGCAGGTCGCCTAAGCGTCGTAGGCGGCGGGAGGTGACCAAAGTTGCCCAACAGTTGGGTTCCCAGGCTGCCTGGTGTGACGCACAACCCCTCCACACCCCTCCGGACAGACGCTCAGTCTGGTCCGGGAGTCGGAGGGAGATGCGATTCGATTCCTGGGCAGCGGAACCCACGCAAGACCCTGCTCTCTCGACTTATCCAGTTCAGCCCTCACGCTGCACCCCGAGCCCCAGCATAGTTTTTAGCATTTCCCCACCCCCACCCCCCTGCTTCCCCGGTAGCTTCTCAGTCTCTCCGACGCGACGTCCTTGCGCAACCGTTCCAAGTGACAGTAGCGTCCATAGGCGCACGGAGCGGGCCCGCAGCTCCCACTTCCCGGAATTCAATTCCGGGCCTCTAAGGGAGAGCGGCCGAGCAAGGATCGGCTGCCCACGGCCGTGGCCAGAGTCCGGCGGCCTCCGCGCGACCGGCGTGCGCGCTCCCATGCCTGCGCGTGCGCGCCTCACTCTCCGCCCGCCTCAGCACCAATAGCATTCCTTCTATACCCCACGGCTCCACAACGTAGCCCCTCCCACCGCCCGCGCGCCAGCCGGAGGTGTTCGGCGTGCGCGCGTCCGTTCGCCCGCTGGCCCGCCTCGCGCAGAGTGGGGAAGGGGAGTGAGCAGAGGCGCTTACGTCGCGCGGGAGGCGGAGGCGACGACGACCTCGGTGGTGGTGGCGGCGGAGGCGGCTACGACGGAGACGGTTGCTCTCGCTCTCTCGGCGTCATGGCGGCTGCCGGGAGCCGATAAGCGGCGGGAGCGGGAGCGCGCGCGTGGCCGCGGCGACGACGACGGCTCGTTACTTCTCGCTTTTGCTGCCTTCGCCGTTGGTGCTTCAGTAATGAATTGATTGTTGGATCCGCTCCGCAGGGGATCGCGCGTTGGTGCCGCGGCCCGGGGCTTCCCCTTCCCCTCCGCGTCCTTCCCCTTCCCCCTCCCTCTCACGGACTCTTGCTTACCCCGAGACGCCCGGAGCCCGAGGACTCACTCGGCGGCGGAGACCGCGGGCCCGGGCGCGGGGGAGGCCGCCGATCCCAGTGGGCTCTCTCCGCCCCTTCGCGAAGCCTGCACGCCCGCCGGTAAGAAAGGGGGTGGCGGGCGGGTCAGGATGTGGCGGGGAGGACGGGAGCCGGCCAGGCGGAGGGCGGGGGCGGCGCGGTGTCCGGGCGGCGGCCCAGCGGCCGGGCGCAGGGCGAAGGCCGGGGCCGCTCTGCGAGGGCCGGCGGTGGCTGACGGGCTCGGAGCACAGGGGGCGTGTGAGTGGCGAGCGCAGGCCGGCGCCGAGGAGCGCATCCTCGCGCCGGACGGGCGGCCAGCTGGGCAGTCGAGCCCGGGCCTTCTCGGCCTGTGGCTGGCCAGGCCGCGAGGCGAGAGCTGCAAGGCTCGAGCGGCAGGCACTTGCCGGGTGCGTTGGTCCCGCCGCGACTCGGGCTTCCAGCACGTGGGGAGCGGCGGGGAGGGGGAGGGGGCGGCGGTCCGGGCGAGCCCGGGAGGGCGCGGGGCGGGTCTGCGGGAAGTTTGAGGCGGGAAGAGAGACTCTGGGACCGGGATGAAGGCCCGGAGAAGGACGGGTCTGGAGTGGGGTCGTGTACGCCTGGTTGGGAGGCTGATTGGAGCGAAGCATAGATGACTGAGGAGGAAGATTTCCAGCCTCTCTTCGAGTATCGCTTCGAAAACTTAGCAAGAGCAAAGCAACTGTTAAAAGACGGGGCGCAGAAAAGGAAGATTGAAGAGGTTTAGCCACTTTGGGAAGAGTCATTGTTAAGACGCGTGAAAGGCAGGAGAGAGCTGCGTGCGCCTGGAGCTTCACAACTTAAGGTTGTGAGAAGGCTCTCTGAAAGAGGAGTTACTCAGACAAGGAAGATGAGGAGGGAAAAGGAAGTTACAATGTACGGAGAAAGCCATTTTGAGGGGCAAAAGGAAGGTGAAAAGGAAAGAACGAAAAGATGAGTGAACTTTCTCGATGAAGAGAGACTTTAGGGGAGGAGGCAGTTTATTAGAGTACCTAGATTTTTAAGACATCATTGTTTCGGAGTGTAAAGCTCTTTGACTAGTTGGAATTAATATTTAACGTGAAGAATAAATGTTGTGGGGAATAGTTACTTTTTGGGTGGCCAGTTTTTGCAGAGCGTCTACTGGATTGTAGTCTCTGGAGAATTACAGTCCCAATCAGGATGCAGAGTTTACTATGATGGAGTTGGCAACAGTATAGTTTCCCCCTCTTTTTTGTGGAGTGGAAATAATCGTAGGAGTAAATTCTCTTTGCTGAGGTCGGCGGACAGCTCTGCTTTCAGTCGCCTGTCTCGGTACTTTCTGGCTGGGGAAGGATCTGACGTCTCCTTCCCCCGCTTCTTCCTCTCCCTCCCCTGCCAGAGATCTCCTTTGTTTATTCGTGGATGGCTTGTAGGTGACTCTCCACTGTTGTGCTGAAATCTTGAAAGGTGGAAATGCTATGTCTTGGCTCATGATTTCTACCCCAAACCCCTTTCCCCTTTTCTTAAATAATCCTAGTGTATGTTACCTTTCTCTCTCTCTCTCTCTCTCTCTCTCTCTCTCTTTTTTTCCAATGGAACCTCTACAGGCCAAAACTGTATAAATATTATTTAAATTTTATCACTCCACTCTCGGTTCACCTGTGAAAGAACACATTTGTTTTGTCCTATACATTTTTCGCTAACTTATATTCTGTACTTATGTGAGCATTTTCAGAACTTTTCCTCACTCAGGTACATGAAGTTCTTGGTAATAGGAATTAGTGCTTGATTAAAGGCAACGTTTCCCCCCACCCCCCTTCATTTGTTCGACTAAGTATCCAATAAGACTTCATTTTCGGTTCTGGGGACGTATGTATATGTTATGTACTACCACTTTGCTCTAGTTATCTATTTATCTATAATGTGTATATATGCGTATTGATACACAGTCATAGTCTGTCTAAAAGTTTTATCATTCCAAATATTTTAATTTTTTTGCCCAAAATAGCAATGATGTGCTAAATTCTAGTAAGTAGGCAGGAATGTAGTTAATAGAAGCCTTAGTATTTTGAGTGAAAGACCACCTGCCTCTTCCTTACCATCTCTAATCTAATTGACCTAAGTAGATTTGTATAAATTCTAAACAGACTTATTTATCTTTTTTCTACAGGATATTTTCTTAACTTTCTTAATATATTTTCTTTAGGTAAATCAAAAGGGCCCCAGGAAGCCTGTGAATGTTGGAGAGAACTCATCTGTGAATTTTTGATGTTTAAGGAGTTCGTATTTGTATTCATCTTTTAAACTGGGAAGATTTGTATTTTACTTTAAAACTTCTTGATATTTACAATGAATGGACACAGTGATGAAGAAAGTGTTAGAAACAGTAGTGGAGAATCAAGGTAAGCTCTTTATTATCAAGTATGTGTTATGAAGAGAATGAAAAACTGGTGTGACTCTAATAAGTGGCAGAGTTTTCAGATCAGATTCATTCTCTTAGTTATCCAAACAGTTAAAAGTTTCTGATAAGTTTTGTTGATAATACATGTTTTAATTATTTATTTTCTCATTGAGCTGTACAAAGAAGAATTTAAATACAGAAAGTTTAGGTGACTTAAATCTCTTTGGAGGTTTGTATTGTTTGGGTCAATTATTGAAACTAGAGCCAAGTACAAAGAGACATTTAAATTGATTTGACTGTTAGTGCACTCTCCAAATAAAGGCAAGAAGAAGTTGTTTACTCCCTTTTTCCCAGGATTTTGTCTTCTATACTTGTCCTGTCCAGTATAGGAGCCACTAGCCACATGTTGCTATTTGATTTAAACTATTTAAAATTACAAAATATTCAAAATTCAGTTACACAGTCATGCTCAACACAATTCAAGTGCTTAAAGCCATATGTTGTAATGGCTACCATGATGTATAGTGCAGATAGAAAACATTTCTATCACTGCAAAAGTTATTTTGGGCAACACTGATCTGGACATTTGTTTTAATCCTTTTTTTCTCTGTTTTCTTTTTAAATTGGAGTTTTAATTATATATGAAAAAGTAACTTGGGTCATGTCTTTGCAAAGAAGATATATATATAGTTAATAGGAACAAGCCATACTAAGTTATTTGAATGTGTAAGAAACCTCTTCAAAGCAAAGACTCTTTTATTCTTCCCCAAAGAGTTATCTGCAAATTTTGAGTTATCTGCACATTGATACAATCCACGTAGTTATATATACTTCTCAGTAGAGATAAGACCATTGGAATCAGAGTACCTGATTACTTTTCCCAGTTCTTCTTAGCAGTGTCAGGACAAATTATGTTGCCTCTGAGGCTTTGATTTTTCACCACAGGAGGGGAATTATGGTATTGTTTATTTTATGTAAAATTGAGAATAAGCGAGGTGTTCTGTGTAGAGGTTTTAAAATAGTTCCTGACATACTGAGTCCTCAGTTATTTATTATAATTAGCATCATGTTTTATATGCCATAGGATACTACATACATAGCTGGAACATTAATTATAGTGGCGGAAAAATGTGGTAGACAAGAAACAGGAGAGTTTTGGCAGTTGGGAGGATTTCAGAAAAAAATGTTGGAGAGAAAATGCAACAGTGGTATAAGTATTTGACTTGAAAATTGTGTTTTCTGGTCATGTTAGGTGTATTTTATCAACTTTCACAGGCAGACTGTTTAGATAACAAGAACATCGTAGAGAAAAAGGAACAGTTATGGAAAGCAGTATATTTAGTTAAACAGATATTGGTCTAAACATTACAAAACCTGAGTTGATACCTCTGTGTTAACTGATGTCTTAACTATAAAGAAACACTTAAACCAAATGATTTTGAAGTTTCATCCCTCCACTTAAAAAGTATAGTAACATGTCAGATAGTGCACTTCCAGAATCACTGGAGTTGAGAGGTTCAATTAAAAGAGTTGTGAATCTCATCTTTGATTCATATCTCTATGGGTGTATTGATTGTAGTAAGTGATTAGAAGAGTCACCTTGTCCACATTGTTTATTCATTAGTGAGCAATGAAATGGTTAATAGTAGAACTATCTAGGGAAAACCCACGAATTAAACTACTCACAAAATAGGAAATAAGACTTGTGAGAGTAAATCTTCTAGTTGCATAGAAATTGTGTACTTTTATACTGTGAGCCCTTACTTGCTCCAATCATGTTTTATGTATTTTGCTGCCATATCCAAGCAAAAAAGGAATAATAGTAAGTCAGATCTGGTAGTATAATTGAAGAAAAAAAAAGTCCTGTGAAATTAAATTTACTTAAACCATTATTTTATGGTGCATACTTATTTAAAATAATTGCAAATCATATTCTCTAATTATTCTGAGTCATTATTTCTACTGTACAAGTTTTATGTGCTTCTCAGAAGTGTGCTTGTCAAGTTATCTTGTTCTTGCAACTGCCTTGGTGTTTATCAGAACGTGGAAGACCTACTTCTAATTTGCTTTCATTTTCTTCCTTACTGGTGTTATGCTATCCTATTCCTCTGCTCTACTGTCATTGTTACCAACCCTCAGCCATCATCACCACTCACCCTAGAAAAAAAGTTTTCATATTAAGGCAGTAAAGAGAAGGGAGATTGTGCCTAGTTAAGAGTGAGGACATGAATTTATAGGTAGGGAGATTTCTTGCAAAAACAAAATTTATTGTAACACTATTAATACAGAGTTGAAAGAGGAGAAATATGCTTTACCTTTAAAATTGATATACATTATAAATAGCCTTTGAAGTAAAATTTGATTTTTGTTAGCTAGAAGTTTTAAATGTACTTTTGTCTTAGATTTTCTTTTTTACTTTGGGAGGTTCCATGTATTTCATGAAATGAAATAAAATTAAGCAAGTAGTCATTTGACAGTTTTGGTTGGTATAATTAGCTTTCTGCTAAAAGTTTTTTGATTCCATGTAGAAAAGTATCTATGATCATTGACTGAAAGGAGGAAGAATACACAGGAAGATGTCTCTGGCTATGCTTTAACTGACAGTTTTGAAACTTATTTACTAAGAAATGTGGGTCAGGATGCACCTGCACAGTTTAAACTCAGCATAAAGTTTATTATATAACTGAAGTTAAGCTTTTTTCTTTTTAAGTTTTTTTTTTTTTTAGCGTTTGTTTATTTTTGAGAGAGAGAGACAGAATGTGAGTGGGACCAGGAGAGAGAGGGAGACCTAGAATCCGAAGCAGGCTCCAGGCTCTGAGTTGTCAGCACAGAGCCCAATGAAGGGCTTGAACTCACAGGCCGAATGATCATGACCTGAGCCGAAGTCGGATGCTCAACCTACTGAGCTACCCAGGCGCCCTGAAGTTAAGCTTTAAAAATGCTTTTGGAAGATTTCAAAGCATCAATTTCTAGCTGTGTGGATTTGAAAAAAAACAAACAAAACCCCAAGTTTTCCAAATCCTGGTTAGACTTTTTATTTTAAAGTTCTTTTGAATGATGATTTACTCCAGGAATAGATTTGTGGATGAAGACCAGAAATACAGTCACATTTTGCTAATTTTCACTGATTACTACATGCTGCTTCATCCTCAGAAGAATTTCTCTTTTGCCTGCAGATTAAATTTTTAATAGTCTAGAATTGTTCATGTAAATTTGATAACGTTTTGAATCACTTTAATGTCTACATATTATGCTCTTGAAAAATTTTTACAGAATGAGGAAAATTGTTGGTGATGTGCTACAGTGGTTTTAAGTATTTACACTTAGTCTGTGTCAGGCAATTGAGCTTTATCAACCTGACTCTTAAAATTCTTAGATCTCAAC